TCAGCTCCCCTCACAAGACACATCCCTTTCTCCTCCCAGGGTATACAGACTGTCCACTTGCTGCCTCCCCCGCAGCATCTGTAGTTCTGCTTTCTGTTTCTTCCCTGTCTGTCTCCACCACCGCAGCTAGCCCACCTCCCTACTTTCCTTCCTGCATCCTGCTATGGTTCCAACTGCCCCCTGAGTCCCACCACCAGCTCTGTAAGGGGAGAAATGGGCAGGGCCCAGGGGCCCAGAGCTTGGCCTCCAGAGTAGGATCAGGGCCACAACTGAGGCTGTAGGTCAGAAACACAGCTCTGGAGTGCTCCCCTCAATGCCAGTACCTGGAATGCCACCAGCATCCGCCGCAGGGTCTCTGGGCTCCTGATGACCCAGAACTGAGAAGCTGAATTCACACCCTCACCTTCATCCCTTCACTTAAGTTCTCACCACAGAGTCCTTCAGTGTCCTTCCAGCCATCCCCACCCATTCCCAAGACCCCCAGCCTGGTTCAGACTTTGTCTCTTCACACCTGAGTTGTTCAAACACCATCCTCGCCAACCTCCCCACTCCCAGCTTTGTCACTGGAACCTGCAGTGTCCACTGTGGCTGGAGCAGCCCCTTGGCTGGCAACAAATCTAGCTTTGTTTTCCCACTTGGCATATTTCTCCTGTGATTCTCCAGTGCAGCTCGTTCATTCTGTATGTGTCTGCACCTTGCGGATACCCCCTTCCACCAATCGGCTAAGCCCTGCCTCTGGCTCCGACACACAAGAACCCCCCTATCTTAGCAGATGCAAGGAGGACGCCATCCTTCATCTTCATTCTCTCCCCCAAATCGTGCTCATCCTTCAAAGCTGAGTTCCATCCCACCTTTGACACATAGCCTCTTGCAACCCCTCAGCCCTCACTGAGCACACCCATCTCCGCACTTCCCCAGCACCTGGCCGTGATTCCAGGTGCTCGGACGTTTATCAGGAAATTTTACACCGAACTGGATCATCCTCGGCCTGATACATGGTTGTTCTTCTAGACTCTAGGTCTTTTATTTCCATTATACAGGGTGTCTTGATGAGACTTTGGGGTCCTTTTGGCCTGGGTTGGAATCTGGCTTTGCCCCCTAGGCACTATGTGAACTTAGAAAGTTTTGCAACTTCCCTGAGCCTCAGATTCCTAATCTGGAGATAGGAATACCTATCCTTCAGGTTATTGTGAGAATTAAAGAAAAAGTCAATGAATAGTAATATTGATCACTCTTTGAGCCTTTACACTACGTATGTATCAGGTATTCTTCTAAGCACTTTCCATGTGTTATTTCATTTTCATTCTCTCAAAACCCTATGATAGAGGTACTACGAATAATGTCCATTTTAGTGAAGAGAAAACTGAGGCCCAGAGGTCAAACAGTTTACCTAAGGTCACACTACCAGCAAACAGCAGAATCAGGATGTTGAGCAAGGCAGCCTGACCCCAGAGCCTAAGCTGAAAACCCTGCATGTCTTGACCTGGAGCAGATGCTGAGATGGGGGCCATGGGGACATCATGGCCATTCTCATGTGTCCCATAGTGCCAGGTGCTGTGCCCGCAGTCTTGGGAGGGCCATGCAAATAGCAAAGCCAGGGCCAGGCAAGGAGAGGAGTCCCTCTATTGTGTCATGGGATTATGACACAGTAAATGGAGCATAAGACCCAAACCAGGAACAGGACATAATAAAAAAGGCTTCTCTGACAGGGAGGTCCAACCAGCATCTCAGCTTCCTGATAGAGGCGTGCTATCCCACAGCCCAAATTAAACCACATGGCCTAATTAACCTTGAACTGACCCTTCTGAAGATTTTATCCACTACATTGGAGACTTTCTTGGATCCTTTTCCTTGTGCTAGTCCTACTGTGTGGTTGCCATTAAAGTGAAATCGTTTTGGCCTTGTTTTGAGGGTTTATTAAGACATTGTCAATACCCAAGACAACAATAAGTAACATTAATAAAGCATTTACTGTATGCCAGGCTTTGCAAAGCACTTCACATTTATTATATTATTTAATTCTCATAAAAACATGAGTCAGGCACTATCAGCCTTGTTTTAAAGGTGAGGAAATTAAGCTGTAAACAATTAAAGTACCAGTCCATTGCCAAGCAGGTAGTAAAGAGCAGAGCTAGAATCTGAATCAAGGAAGCTGGTTCTAAAACTACTACTTTCACACTTTGGGAGGCTCCCTGAGATGCTGGAAAACCACCCACTACTTTGCATCTAGTACTTTGGACTGTCACATTTTTCAGTCTGGGTGATGACCTGCAAGGTTGTGACTTTATGAGTATGAAGCTGTGAGGTACCTGTGGGACCAGAAGATGGGTGTAGCTGGAGTGGGGGGCACCATCAGATGACCTCTCCCACATGATGCTTTTCTCTCTTTTCTGCCTCAATGTGCCATGATGCCTGGATTGGGCATTCTCATTTCTCCGGGTTTCATCTGAGTGCTCAGTGGAGGGCCAGGTGGTTCACATGAGATTTCAGCTACTGGAGCCAATACACATAGCCTGGCCTCCAATCCAGCCCCCATGCTCACTAGCCATATGAGCTCTTAGCCCCAGTTTCCTCAACTGCAAAATAGATATAATAATAGCACCTACTATGTATCCTGTTTTGAAGATAAATGAAGAAATACATTTGTAACAGTTAGCCTAGCACCTGGCACAATGGAAGTTCAATAAGTGTAATCAATTATTATTATCCTAATTTTCATTGATTCAACTCATTTACTGGTTCATACCTTTATTAGTGCATGGATTACAAATGCAAAATGCCATCCAGATATAAAGATAAATGAGATAGGCCTTGCTTTTCAGTACAGAGAGACAGAAATAACTTAATAATTGCACAGGGCAGAATGAAGTCCATGTGACATCTAGGTGCCAGAATCATCTAAGAGGGCCCAGAGGAAGGAGTGATGGGTTATGACCAGGGGAAGTGGGGAAGAAGTTTTGGAGGAAGAATGACAAATATTTCCATGGAAGAAGGTAGACGGGCTGAGAGAGCAGCATGGGCAGAGCAGAGAACTATCAAAAGTGCAGGATGGGAGGAACAAGCTGCCCGGTATTACTGGAAGTGAACCAGAAAGACCGCCACAAGAGAAGTCAATGGAGGGAAAGCGGGTAGAGAGAGGCATTTGAATGTGTTGACACAGAACCTTGACTTTACTCCATGGGGAGCCCCTGGTGATTCCTGAGGACAACAACAGCATGATCCAACCTTTATATTAAGAAGATAACTAGAAACAGTAGGAAGGATGTGTTGGAGAGGAAAGATAACGGAGATGCAAAAACTGGTTAGATGACTACTGCATCTGCTTTCATAGTTACTGATCCTAAAGTGGACCCTGACTCACTGAAACAGGGTGTTTCACAAAAGCATTTTGTAAAGGTTTATATTTTAAATGGTTGAAACAAAAACATCTTGCCAGCTTAAGTGTTGATCTTCAGTTATCCCCAAACTTAAGGTATTAGAAACGTATTCCCCCACTGGGCCAAGTATTGGCAATTGGGAAGAGGACTTATTCACCGATTCTCTTAGAGTTTCTTAGCAAACCCTAATGATTGCAATACACTATAATTTGGTATAAGTCAACCCAAAGAATAATTTAATGGGAATTATTTTCTGTTAATGTCTAAGTGTGACCCATATTTGACTTGTGAAATGGAGCTCCTTCTTAGCGCCTATCATGTTTTCCCAATAGAGGGCGCTATTGCTGCCATTGCTTAAAATCTGGCCACTTTGATCCAAAGATATCCTTCCTGCCCCCACTTCACCTCCGAAATTCTTTTCCTTGTGTGTCTGCGGAACCTCGCTGGAGCTGAAGTCAGTGGTCTGCCATGGCAGGGGGTAGAAATGGCAAGAAAATTTCTTCCGCGGTTTTGGAAGATTCAGGAACCATCCGCCTGTGGCTGCTCAGTGGGGTGGGAGAGGAGCTAGGACCCTCCATGGCGCAGTTGTTGTAGCCACTCTGCCATCTGGACCTGTGTCTGGTTGATCTCCTACATAGAGGAGTCCATCATATTTAACCTCTAAGGTCAGTTTGTGTGATGAGGTGGATGCTAAGATTCTCATATCCTAAATGCGTTTTGGAGGAAAAGGGTCAAATATTCTCCTTGGCTGTCATAATTCAGACCTATTTTATTCTTCAAGATCATAAGCTACTTAAGGGCTATTATAGCCATTTTTCTACCTCCTGTGGAGCCTAGGACAGTGCCTGCCCCCTGGAGCTCAAAGACAGTGAGGCAGCACGGAGCTGGGGCTCAGAGCACATGCTTGGAAGTCAACCTGCGGGGTTCAACCCCTGGCTGCACCGTTTACTACCTGACCTTGCACAAATGACTTATTTTCTCTAGGCCTCCGTTTCCTCATAAGGTTTTTGAGAGAGCTAAATGAACACAAAGCTCTGATAACATTGCCTGGCATGTGGTAAAGCACTGGATAAAAAGTTTTTTTATAAAAAAGTCAAAGTTAGAGCCAGAGAGAATCATAGAAGCTATCCCCTCATTTTACAAATCTGGAAACTGAGGCCAAGAGATGTTAGGTATTCTTGCCCACTCTCCAACGAGTTTGGAACAGAGCCTGGAGGAGAATTTAGGTCTATCTGACTCCCTGTGCCGTGCCCTTCCTACTACACCATCCACATACTGATTCAAAGAAATCCTTGGAAGCAGCACAGTATGGTTTGCAGGTCTCTACTGGGTTACTCTAAGGTCCCAAAAATGTCCTTTGACAAAGACAGACATGGGTTGGATGCACCATCTGTCTGCCCCAGTTGGACTTCTCTTAAGAATCTTTGAGAATCGACTTTAAAAAAAAGAAGATTTGAAAGTGAATGAACATGAGTGACTGTAATAACCGCTCAAGGAAGGCCAAGTAAATGGGACCAGGAAGCGCGAGGGCAGGGAAGACAGGTGCGGGCTGCTTGTGGACAGAGTGGAGCTGGCCGGCTGCGATTTACGCCTGTGTGTTCTGCTTCCCATATGTCATTTCAGGGAGCCCTGCTGATGAAGAGGAGCAGTGGTCAGATGACTTTGTGAGTATTTGCTCCTGGGACGGGAGGGTACTGCTTCCACCAGGGCCCATGGGAAGCCTTTTTAAGGGGTTGTTTCTGAATTACAGGCTGGTAGTCAGCTGCACATCACAGAGGTGAGATGACCGGGTTGGAAGGGCCACCTACAGACAAGGCAGCAATAACCTCATAACAGCTGACTTGAGCTAACACCACTATGTGCCAGGCTGCGAGCTTTATACGCATTACCTCATCTAATCCTCGCCACAGCCCTATGAGTAGGCATTCTTGTCCCCATTTTCTGCTGGTATTCAGAGTACTCACCAGCACAGCCAAAACAGATGTTAAAATGTTTACATATTTTCTTATCAGTTGGCAAATGCCTCTGCCCTGAATTCCCCAATACCCCCATCACCACCTGGCCCCTGCCTAGGAGCCCTAAACCAAAGGACAACTAAAGAGTGATCACCTGGCACATCCAGGACCTCCGGGACACTCTTCGGGGCCACGATCAGTAGCTGGGCCATATTAGTTGTTAAACATTTTGAATGTCAGCCCTGCCCATTTTACAGGTGAAGAAACCAAGGCGAGGAGAGTTTAAGTAATTGGCAGTTGCAAAATTCAAACCCAGGCCCTCAGATCTCGGAACCAGGCTTTTAAGCTCCATGGTGCTTGCCGTGACCAAGAGGACACTGGCAGACTCTGAGGGCCACAGAGTGAGAGAGAGGGACCTGGCCATGATGACATTGGGGGTGGTGTGTCAGAAGTAACTGTCAACCTCTTCTAGGTGGCTCTGCAACCCAGAGGGCCCCAGCAGCCACTTCTCTCTCTTGGGCTGAGTCTTGTATGGACAAGACATCCTAAAATCTTTTCTTCACAATAATTATTCCTCATTTACATCAAATTCATCCAGTGTTAGCCTGCTCCAATCTGTGAGTTTTATATCTGGAAGGGATCCAAGAGGGCCTCCACTCAACCACACATCCCATTTTAAAGATAGGGAAATCAACGCCAAGAGCATGAGAATGACTTGCCCACCATCACTCAGTGACTCAGTGGCCCAGTGGAATGAGCACCCAGGACTCTGGTCCAGTGCCCAGAATTGAGCCTAAGCCCAGCTCCGCGCTGTGTACATCACCCAGAGTTTATTCGGAGAATTAGGAGACGGGAGTTCCTCTCTTTTCAACTGCAGAGAAAAGATCTTTTAAAAGAGGGGAAGAGATGGCCTCTCTGCGAGTCACTGGGGCACGGAATTCCTCCTTGGCGCGGCAGCCTCTGATCCCCTAGAAGCACTGCTGCTGCGCCCCCTGCTGGCTGCACGCGCCGGGTCACATCTGTGGCAAAGTTAAGAAGCTGGTCCACGTTCACCAGGAAGCCAAGAAAATTGAGCTTGCTCACTTGCTGGATAAAAAGAGCACGCATGGGGACTTAGAAAACACAAAATGAAACCAGCCTGGAGAGGAGAGAGTGACTCGTGTCCCAAAGTCAAACAACCAAAATTAAGGTGCCGGCTATAATAAGGACTGAGTGAACGTCCCCATTTTCTGCTGGTATTCAGAGTACTCACAGTTATTTTTACCTTATCGGATTCCCATTGCACACAGAATGAAATCTAGGCTTGTTGCTGAGGCCTCCAGCCTGATGAAATCCAGCCCCTGCAGACATGTCCAGCCTTCCACACACCCTCTCAGCAGGGCCTTGCTCATCACACCCCAGCACACAGGCCTGCCCTCAGTTCCTACAATAGACCGAGGTCCTGCCTGCCTCAGGAATTCAGACTCATGGTCCCTGGGCAGGCGAAGGAAGAAGGGAAGAGAGGAGAAACCAAAGAACGCCCCCATTCTTCCTCCCTTTGTGGGCTCCTTCTTGTCCTTCAGGCTTGGCTTAAACGTCTCCTTCCCAGGAAGACCTTTTCAGCACCCGCATCCGAGGTGGATCCTCTCCTCCCACGACTCTCTGTCTCAGGACCCTGGTCATTCCCCTAAGTGCATCCATCGCCAGTGATAGCTATTTTATCTGTTTGACCATCTACTTCTCATTATTCACTATTTGTTTGTCACTGGTCTCCCCTGCTAGAACGCAAGTTCTGTGAGGGCAGGGACTGTGCTCAGAGTCAAGCACAATGCCTGGCTTGTAGTAGGTGCTCAATAAATATTAATTGAATGAATGAATGAATGAATGGACAATTCGAAAAGGTTTTTATCTGATGACACATCTCTTCTTCAAAGTTTCCATCAGATTGTCCACCGTATTGCACTTGCTCAAATACTGAATGAATGAATGACTTTTTTTGCCAGAATTTAGCATAATTTCGGGCAAAGGAGATTTTTTTTTAATTGTCTCAGAAGTTTGAACAGATTTCGCTTTTTATTCTCTTGATAAAAAGGCATTCAGCGCATTCTATTGTATTGGAGGGGAGTGTCCTAAGCCCCTCATGCTGGACTAGACTAGCCTTGGGAAGCCAAGCTCTTGCCCTCTTAAGCCCCCTGCCCCCGCCCGGGCCATCCTTTCACTCCCACTCCACCTCCAAGGCCCCCTTCCTAAGAATACCCATTGGCTTCTCCAGAACACAGATTGCAGACTCAAATTATTCAACTCTTCTGTGCCTCTGTTTCCTTGACTATAAAATGGGATTTTAGAAAAACTGTCTCAGGGGCTGGCCCAGTGGTGTAGTGGTTAAGTTTGTATGCTCTGCTTCAGCAGCCTGGGATTCATGGGTTCAGATCCCAGCCACAGACCTACGTACTGCTCATCAAGCCATGCTGTGGTGGCGTCCTACATATAAAATAGAGGAAGACTGGCACAGATGTTAGCTCAGGGCCAATCTTCCTCACCAAAAAAACCCAAAAAAACCCCCTATCTCATATGATTATGGTGAAGAGTAAATGAGGTATGCAGTGCATAGAAATTCAGTTATAATAATTATTATTATTATCATTATCCTATTCAGTCTAATTTCATATTCATGTTCAGGAAGGATGGTTGAGCTTCCCCCACCCCGCCAAATCTGCTATTCCTGAGATAGGGATTTCGGAAAATCCTCCCTACAGGAACTTCTTACCTCACCCCTTCCTGTCCCTTCCTGGCTCTCCCCGTCTGGGGCTCCTAGCTCCTTTCGTTCCCTCTCCCAACACTCCTCCAGCCACCTCAGGAAAAGCTGTCTTTGCAGCCCCCTTTCTCGTTCCCTACCTACTCTCCAACCCATTCTTCTCCTCTCTCCCCATCTCCTTGTGGACTGAGGAGGAAAGCACAGTCCTCACTCATATATTCATGCATTCATTCCAAACATACTGAGCTCCCATCATGTGCCGGCCATTACAGGCCCTGAGGATACAGCAATGAAGGAAGCACTACACCTGCACCACGCTTTATCTGCATCGATGTTGCACAATTGCAAGTGAAAGGTGACAGGCCAAAAGGCAGGTGCATCACCCATTCATTGGAAAGTCATGCACGGATCCTGCATTGTGTCAGGCACTCTGTGGGGTCAGTGGACACAGAGGCCAGAGGCCCTCTTAAGTCCTGAATCAAATACATCCCCCACACGAATATATGTATGTACACTCTACACATAAACTATCTTGAACAAAGTGCACAAGGACTGGTAACGCTGCCTCTGGGGAGAGGAACTGAGAGAGCAGCCGAGAGGGAGACTTTACTCTAGATCCTTCTAGACTGTTTGAACTTTAGACCATGTTAGCGTATTTTTCAATATTGACTTATATTAAAAAAAAGAAAGAAAGAGAATGGACTCTGGGTCAGTTTGAAGCCTGGCCCCTGCAGCTTGCCAGCTCTGTTTAAAAAAATTTTTTTAGAAGCCTCATCTCCTCAGAGGTATCTATATTTCTGGGCATCCCCTTACCCTCTCCTTCTTACACTTACTTTTTCCTCAACCATCAGCAGTCATGATAAATGAAACCTATTAGTTATTCTATTTTATTGAGCCCTTTTTCTATCTTTTTAGAATATATTTTATCTCCTACTGTTCTTTGACAACACACACAGTTTCAGCCACTCTTCGGGTTAAATGGTCCAGCGTTCCCCCAGGATAGTGGTCAAGGCGATAAACTCTGTAGGCAGAAAGGCCTGGCTTCCACTGAGCTTTGCCTCTTCACGGCTCCCTAACCTTGGTTAGCCAGCCTCCCCAAGCCTTGCTTCCTTACGTTGGGGGAGCAGCTGTGACCCCCTAAGGCAGGAGCTGCCCTGACCACTGAGTACAGAGCCCTGAGCATGGTGTCTGCACTTGCAGGACAGCGACTATGAAAACCCAGACGAGCACTCGGACTCAGAGATGTACGTGCTGCCCGCCGAGGAGACTGGGGACGATAGTTATGAGCCGCCGCCCGCTGAGCAGGAGACGAGGACAGTTCATCCAGCCCTGCCCTGCACCAGGGGCGAGTACATAGGTGAGGCACCCCCCAGACCCTGGGCGCTCAGCCTTCCGCACAGGGGGAGGTAGGGGAAGGCCGAGGTTGCAGGATGGTGGGCGTCTCCCACTCTCACCACCTCCGAGCGGGTCATCTGGTCACTCACCGGTAATGGAGCGCCAGCTGGAAAGCTTGCCCATTCGAAGGGGAAAGCTATGCTTCCTAAATCGGGAATATGAAAAACAGTCAGAAATAAAATGAGCATGCCCTGATGGTTGCTCAACCCCATGCCCACCCCAAAACTCGGCAGTCCATGAGAAATCAACCCTGAGATTAGTTCCCGCTTCTCTTCGAGCTTCCTGCACACAAGGTTCTGGAATTTCTCTTAAGACGTCTGTACAGAATAAGGATGACCTTCAAGGATCCCAGTGTGTGCTAACGCCCCTCCTTCCTCCACGCCTGCCCCCTCGCTGGCAGGCCAGACACACTGAGTCTAGACAGTGGATTTTTAACTATGGATGGGGATGAGGGCAAAGAATGCTAAGCTTAGAATTAGCCTCATAGGTTAAACGGACGCAGCTCAGCTCTGGCCTCCAGGCCTGAGTGTGGCTTTTAATGTCACCCAAGAAGTCAGTGTTACCATCTTATCAGGTGACCAAGTTCAGCAAAGGTGAGGAGCAGAGCGTGCCCATTATGATGATGGTGATGCCAGCGTTTGTACAGAGCATCCCTACATGTAAAGGGCTCCATGTCCATTGTCACTGCCATTAACTGCCTCTCTATGGGTACCAGGCACTGCCCCTCGCTTCATGCCACAATTAATCTATTGAGTACCTAGTGTGTGCCAGAGCTCAGCTGAGCACTGAGCATCCAGCAGCGGGCAAGGCAGACATTCTCCCAGACCTTTTACAGTTTCCAGTTTAGTGCTTTACACTCATGGCCTACTTCACCCTCTCAAGGATCTTATGAAAGACGTATTCACCCCCACTTCACCAAGGAAGAAAGTGAGGCTCAGAGGAGTGAACTAACGGGCCAAGATTTTATAAGTGATAGAGATGGGATGCGAGCTGGGCCCCTCAGCCCCCAAGAGCCCACGCTCTTCACCGCTCTGCTCCGCACGCCGCCCACCATGTTTGGTAAACCACCTTGTTCAATCATTAGAACAACCCTGGGAAGGACGGGGCTGCATTATGCCCATCTTACAGACCAGGAAAATGCAATTTCAGGGTGGTTAAGTGGCTCATTCAAGGGCTTTGTCTTCTGTGTTTTGCTACTTCTGATGGGCTTAAATCTGACTTTAAGAAATCTAAGTAAACTCCAAGAGCTGCAAATAAAACTACAAAAACCCACAGAGTCATATGCACAGCAAAATGGATGCTCTAGTGCCTGAGCACAGCTACATCACCCAGAAAGAGGCTGCTGAGAGGGCATCAGAGGTGAAGTTAACCGCACACCTTCGACAAGGCAGAAGTGCAGGCTGAGGGCAAGAGCAGACACCAGGAGGGGAGCAGAGATGCGGTATGACAGGCAGGAGCGGCTGCATTGAGCTCGAGCTCAGCTCAGGGTGGGCTGTGGCAGGAGGAAGCAGCAGGAAGCCAATAATGCAGCACCAAGGCCAGTGGGGGCGCCTGTGCTGTTCCCAGCACGGGGAGCAGGCCAGGTTATCCTTGTGCTGAGATTTTCCTTAATGTATCAGTCCAAATCCACGCTCACAGCATCGTCTGGGTCGACCCCACATTGCCTAAGCCCTCCACCGCATCACATAGATAATACTAGTTCTATTAATTAGGCATTGACTCTGCCAGACACACTGCTCCTCCTGCCTTCAGTGCTTCCCTCCTAATCCCTACAATAATTCTCTGAGGTGGAGATTATGATCCTCAGTTTAAAAATGAGGAATATGAGTCCCAGAGAGGTTGAATAATGAATAATTAGCCCAAAGGGGAGCAACTAGCGAGTGGCAGAGCAGGGGACTGAACCCTGGGCCATTTGGCCTAATACCTGCTGAGGACAGCCCTGGACCAGCGGGAATCACGGGTTCTCCATGATTTGAGGGAATTCATGGAGGGGAGGAAGGTGTAGCTCACCCAGGTGAGTAGTCACAACCCTAAACACACCTTAGAATAACCTGGGGGACTTTTAAAACCTATAATGCCAGGTCGCTCCCCAGAAGTTCAAACCAGTAGCACTGCGGTGGGGCCTGGGCCTGGGCATTTTTTAAGGCTCCCAGGTAGTTCTTATGTGAAACCAGGATTGAGAATTACTGCATTTAAGGGTTCAGGGGGCAAAGTGAACCGCCCCCCTTAGACCCCCACCCCACCAAGGTCATCGTCCCCTCTGTTCCACCGAGTGCTGGGCTGTCATCTCTCCTTGGTCCAAGGTTCTCCATTACCCTCCTGGGGAAATGGTTTGGGTTTTTTTTTGGAGGAAGATTACCCCTGAGCTAACTACTGCCAATCCTCCTCTTTTTGCTGTGGAAGACTGGCCCTGACCTAACATTCGCGCCCATCTTCCTCTACTTTATATGTGAGACGCCCACCACAGTATGGCTTTTTTGCCAAGGGTGCCATGTCTGCACACGGGATCTGAACTGGCGAACCCCAGGCTGCACCGAAGGTGCGCACTTAACTGCTGCGCCACCCAGCCGGCCCCTGGGGAAATATTTTTGATGAGGACATTCTTCTGGTTTTTATAATGTAAGTCAATGAATGGGCCATTGAAATTTTTGCCTAAAATGTCATTTTACTCTTTAAAGGAATGCCCCGATTAACAACTTGTAGCTACACAGATGCCCATGGCTTTGTACTTTTCTAGATCACAGCGGCTTCCACCCAGGGAATGAGCCAGAGCCCCTTCATCTTGTGCTTTGTTATTCTTGTTCCTTTCAAGACAATCGATCAAGCCAGAGGCAGTCTCCACCCTTCAGCAAGACCCTTCCCAGTAAGCCCAGCTGGCCTTCGGCAAAGGCGAGGCTGACCTCCACTCTGCCAGCTCCGACTTCTCTTCAGAGACCTCAAATCCCACCCAAACCCAAAGAACTTCTCGAGGACGAGGTAAAGTAAATGTGTCCGGAAGGTTTCCCAGACCGAGTGGGAGGCAGGATGCAGGGGGCGAGGCCAGGACAGACGGTCCGGCCTCCAGCGTGTCTTCCTTCCTCCGTGCCCTGCTCCCTCCCCGGCCAGCACTAACTACCCTGCCCCACTAACTCTCCACTGTTAGGCTGAAAGGATGCTTTTTTCTCTAACAATGGCATACGTGGCCTCATTTTAAGCATTTTCATTTACGAGGCGTATAGCATAAATGTCAACGCCGGATCTGTACCCCTTTTATTGTCCCCTGTTTCTCTCCTCTCGGTTTCCTGTGAATCTCTCTTTCCTCCGTAAGTTATTCCGTCTTTATTCTCCTTTGCTTCTCTGCCCGGTCCCACCTCGCTTTCTTTCCCCACCTTCTTTTCTCTCTGCCTCTCCACTTTCCTCCTCTCAGGTGCAGAGGGGTGCGGTGGGACGCATAATGGAAACCCCTGGTCTGTAGAGGGACCCTGCACAACCCGTAGAAGAGAGCTGACCCCTCACTTCCCTGTGGCAGCTCTTGCTTCTCACTCCCTTTCCCTAGCCCCTGGTATCCAGGGACCCACCTTTACAGATTGTCTGGGACCCAGGTCTGGGTTTATCTCACCAATCTCCTCTCTGTCAGCGCCTTGCTTTATATGAGTCTTATTCGCTGTGGAATTGCTCCCGTTTGAAAATGAACAGGTAAGCTCATTCAGACTGTTGTCGGAATGACTGATAAAGTCTAATATGTTGTGGCTCCCAGAGGTACTTGCCCTGGACTTGGGGCAAGCCAGATAACACACAGAGGGATTCTGTGTGTCATATATATAGGATTCCTTTCCACCATATTCTAGATTCTTTACAAAATCCAGTTTTCTAGTTTCTCCTGAAAACTGAAGGCCTGGCAACACTGGGCCAGCCATGGCCTCAAAGCAACTGGGCCTCATGGCAACCCTCCAGCTCAGCTGTGAATCCTGGTCCCTGTTCCCATCTGTCACGGTCCCCACTACTCATTACAAGGCATGCACACACCTTACTCTGCACATGCCCCCATTACTATTCCCTGCCTTCTCCTGTAAGCAACTTAGTTTATGACCTCTGCTCTAGAGATACTTTAATTCAGAAAGTCAGCTGACTAAGAGAGAGTGTGGTTTGTCAGTCCCCAGTCTGTCATGTCAGAGGTGATGCTGTCCTTTCAGGGTGAGAAGAGGGTGGCAAGGAGAAGCTGAGCAGGGGACAGATTGGGGAGAACAGCTGTTAGGGTCTCGCTGTGAATTCTGCCAGCACCCAGCAAGTCCATGTGAAGATATCAATTCAGACACAGAATACAAATGAATACTGTGGATTATGTAAGGCTCTCCATTTCTGTGAATAACTGAGAGTGGGCCCCAGTGGGGAGAGGCAGAGTTTTGCTAACAGTAGCTTTGTGGAGGTGGCTCAGGCAAGTTTGAACCAGGGGGAAAAGGAGAAGTATAGAGGAGGCACATTCTGGAATGGGCAGATGGACAACCAAGATAAGAAGGAGGTTAAAATAGAAAAAAGAGGCCAACATTAAGATCTGACTGAGCCATTAGATAGGAAAAGAAGAAGTCAAGTACAAGCATAAATAAAAATGTTTAGCTCTGCCATACGGGTTACAGGAAAAATACAGGGGTGTAGGCTAACCAGAGAGTTGGAGATGGGACAATGACGCGTAGGAGGAAGGAGCAACTGTGCTCTAAGGATGAGAGTGGCTAACATTTGACAAGTGCCACGTATCAGCTCGTGTTCTGAGTACTGTATATATATTATCTCATTAAATCCTCACAACAACCCTATGAAGTGTGTACAATTACCATCCCCATTTTACATATGAGGAAACGGTACAGATGAGGTGCAAAGGGGTTGAAAAGCGCATCCAAGTTCACAGAGGTAAATGGTAAAGCAGGCATTTGAACCCAGATAATGAGCTCAGGTGCTAAACAGCTATCCTGTATCCTTTCTCCAGCATCCCCCGAGGCAAGACTAGCTTATAATTCAGCACAAATGTGCCAGGCACTTGGTGCCCAAAGCAGACCTGGTATTTGTCCTTACAGGGCTTCAGTCTTGTGGTTTTGTGTGACCTTGGACAGATTACTCAACTTCTCTCAAGTTCTGCATATGTAAAAGGAGGATAAACATTCTTAACTTAGTAGGAAGGTGTTATTGTAAGAATTTAATAAAATAATATTTGTAAAACTATTATATGCTTACGTGAACTGTAATAAGGAAGAAACTCATATGGGCATTTAATAGCTAATCTAAATGATTCTTGATAAGCAATGGGAAAGTGAAAACAAGACGAATCTGTGGCACTCTTATTTTTCAAATCTGTAGTCTGGGGGAAGGCAAACTGTAAATGCCTGTAGCAAGTGTCTTACTACTTAATATCAAAACATTGGAGTTGCCCTAAGATAATTTTTTAAATAATCATCTATTTATTTTTAAATGATGCCATTGTAAAAACTAAAGAAGACTTTCTAATGGCATGTGGGTGGTAGTGGAATAACCTACCCAGCTCCAAAAGATCAATCACTGATGCATCTACAGCTAGGTTTTTGTGATGTAAACATGGAAAATAGATTTTAACATATGCATTTTATTTTATGCAGTACATAAAACACTGCAGCAATGCGAAGGTGGACATGTTAGGACACAAATTGTGATGGTTCTTGATGATTTGCTTATTTTGCCAGGCAACAACTTTAAAGCTTTGAATTTCAATTGAATTGAATTGCTGGAAATATACATTATACATTCTTTCTCCTTAAATCCCATAATAAGGAGTGGGAAGGTGGTGGGGAGGTAAAGAACTACAAACAGAATTTGTTGGAATTGGATTAAGTCTCTTTCTCTATCTTTGCTCTTTTAAACTAAAAATTTCTCAACTCCAGAAATATCATTACTCTAAACAGGTCAGATTCTAGACCTTGCAGATAAACCATCTTCTACCTGTAATCAAGTACTACAGAACAAACAAATGCAAAATTGAGAATTCAGAGGAAAGAATAAATTTTGAGGTGGTGAAGCAAGATTAAGAAAGTTTGGGTGGGGGCATGGTGCTTCCAAGTTCCCTATATCCATTCAGATATTATTGCTGAGTGCCAATACCAATGTTCTGTGTTCAGCTATAAGATACTTGAAGATTTTGTTGACTACAGGCTTTGAGAGGATGGGCAGGTCCCCCTGGGGGCTCAGCCTCTCCTCTCACAGGAACTGGCCCCTGGGAGAGAAGCTGGGCTCTGACAACTTGTCACTCTGGCCACAAGCTAATCCAGAGAGATAGACCCATGGAACCAAAAGGGTCCTACAGGGATGCTGAAGCCACTCAACATCCACATTTTTCAAAGCTGCTAAATCAACCTCTTTCCAGCCTTAGCCATTTGGTCAAATTTCACTTCAATTCAGTGAGGCTCTTAACTGCTCTGGGAACACATATACAGACAAGGAAGAGTCTTTTAGGGGTTCGCTGGCCTCACTGTGTTAGAAGCTCATGGTTTAACACAGTGAGGCCAGTGACATAACAGAGGTGAGGACCAGGTTCCTTGCACCACAGAGGAGCAAGTGGTCACCTCCGATTGACAGGGTCCAGGAAGACTTCTGATGATTCAGTGATTTACCCCAAGTCATAAACCAGAAAAGAGCCTAGCAAGGATATCCCCCCAGATCTGTCTGATTCCAAATCCTCATCTCCTTCAGCCAGGTTGTTTCTGAATGTGATTGAGAAATTGAGATACTGCATGAGTAGAACCACCTGGTCCCTCTTGGCCAGGTTTAGAGGAGAAAAAAGAGATGAGAAATAGCAATTAAATGAAAAAAAAAAAAGGTATAAATAAGACAGAAGGAGTAAAGGAAGGAAGCAAGCAAGCAAGGAAGGAAGGAAGGTACTCAAAAGTAGTGGGGACTCGGTTCTTGAACTGTAATCCTGTCTCTACCACCTTTTTACTATGAGAACTCGAGCAAGCTACTTAACTTCTCTCTGCCTGTTTCTTCAAGTTTCTTGATCTTAAATGGAGCTGATAGTGGTGGCTACCTTATTGGATTGTTATAAGGATTAAATGAGATAACACATGTAAAATACTTAGAAGAGCACCTGGCAATAAGTGCTCAATAAATGTTTGGTTTTTGTTTTTCCTGGTACCCATCTTGGCTACCCATCAAGACAGGTTGTAAAAACCACTTTGGAGATCTGGTTACCTCATTTGATTATTAATATAAAATCCCTCCCTCCCAATATTTATAGTTAATTGATTATTGACAAAGGTGCCAAGACAATTCAATGGGGAAAGAATAGTTTTTAAACTACCTTTAAACTAGTTTTATGGTACTAAGATACTGTATACCCACATGCAAAAGAATGAAATTGGACCCCTGTCTCACACTATATACAAAAATTAACCAAAAATGTATCATAGACCCAAATGTAAGAAATAAAATTACAAAACTCTTAGAGAAAAACATAGGTATAAATCTTTATGGCTTTGGGATAGCCAAACATTTCTTAGATAGAACACCAAAAGCAGAAGCAACAAAAGAAAAAATAGATAAAATGGACTTCAAAATTTAAAACTTTTGACCTAAAAATGATACCACTAGGAAAGTAAAAAGACAGTCTACAGAATGGGAGAATTTTTTTCCCAATTATATATCTGAGCAGAGACTTATGACTAGAACATTTAAAGAACTCTGATAACCCAATAATAAAAAAGATAACCCAATTAAAAATGAGCAAAGAAACAGACTTTTCTTCAAATAAATAGCCAATAAGTACACAAAAAAGATGCTCAACATCATTAACCATCAGGGAGATGCAAATCAAAGCCACAGTGAGATACCACTTCACACCTACAAGGATCTACAAGGATAATAAAAAAGACAGACAATAAAAAGTATTGGTGAACATGTGGAGAAATTAGAACCCTCATACATTGCTGATGGGAATGAAAACTGGTGCAGCCACTTTGGAAAACAGTTTGGCAGTTCCTGAAACTGTTAAACATAGAGCTATGATACGACCCAGGAACTCCACCACTATGTATATTCCCAAGAGAAATATACATCTACAGAAAAATTTGTACATGAATGTTCGTAGCAACATTATTCATAATAGCCAAAAAGTGGAGACAACTCAAATGTCCACCAATGGATAAACAAAATGTGGTATATTCATACTGTGGAATATTATTTGGCCATAAAAAAAGAAAAGAAGTAGCGATACATACTACAACAGGGCTGAAACTTGGAATCATTATGCCAGGTGAAAGACGTCGCAAAAGACTACATATTGTATGATTCCAGTTATATGTAATGCCCAGAATGGGCAAATCTAGAGACAGAAAGTAGATTAGTGGTTGACTAGGTAAGGGGAAGGGGTTGATGAAGAGTGGCTAATGGGTACAGGGTTCCTTTTGGGGGTGATGAAAATGTTCTAAAATTATATTGCTGTGATGTTGCACAACTCTGTGAATATACCAAAACCCACCAATTTATACACTTTCTATATGAGAATTTAATAGTATGTGAATTGTATCTCAATAAAGATTTTTTTTAAAACTGCTCCTTCCCATGCAGCAAGCCATGAATGGATAGCATCCTCCTCATTTATTTCTGCAATTCTTTTAGGCTGACTATGTGGTCCCTGTGGAAGATGAAGATGAAAACTATATTCATCCCACAGAAAGCAGTTCGCTCCCATCCGAAAAAGGTAAGAGTTTGTAGTTTTGAGCACTGAAAACTTCTAGCAGTTGATGGGGGCATACAAGACTATTTGGTAGCAAGCAGTGAGGGGCTTGGAAGTGATGGTGCCCAGGCCTCTCTTCTCTGTGGTCACAGCCTTTGCCTTCTTTGGCTGGTCAAGCAGAGATCAACAGTGAGCACCCATCTCTGTGATTCATAGCCTTTACCCTTCTTCCTCCATCCTCTTCCATGATTTAATGATCCCATCTCAAACTGTGGAAGCACCTAGGTTCTTATCCTGAGCTCCTCACTTAGAATAGATTTCTCATAAACCCTAATACTCACAAAGTCATCAGCCGCCATGTTGGCCTTACAAATATTGCACCAGGAACAAATTTCCACAGAGGACTGAAAAAATAAGGATATGCTCTGAGTCCTGATTCTTTAAATTTAGTGTTGTCTCAGGCCCACAAGAAATGTTTCATTTGTAAACCGTTGGCAGAATAACAAATGCAATTACAAACAAATTATGTTAAAAATCCAGGGCCACATACCCTCAGGTCAGGCGTGGAGCAGTCCATCTTTACTCTGGATGTAGTTTCTGTGGAGAATAGAATCCTGCATAAGCGATGCCTCTTCAAGTAACATATTCATCTAATAAACTCCACTCCAAAGCAGCAGTACTAGTTTCTACTCTGTCGTCGTGTCGCAGCCCTCTCCTGCACTCCCTAAGTATCACCAACAGCTTCAACACTCACCTGAATCCCTGAGCCACCCATCACCATGAAACAATAAATACATGTTAAACCACCGCCTCCCCTAAACTCCACACAATCCTGGAGAATTTGTATGTGTTGCATGTGGCAGGGGAGGTGGGGCTATCAATTGGGCTCCTCCACCATTAGGTTCAATACACTGCTCCTGATTTTACAAAAAACAAAACTTTCATCTCCTAGACCTCCAGTTTGGCAAAAGAAATTCCAAGCCAGTATTCACTTTAACAAAACGCCTGTCATAAAATAATTTGATTAGTCCTTTAATCATTAATACATTCATTCTAAAGATATTTCTTCTGGGAAGGCTTCTTTTAATGGCTTGTGTGTTTAATAAGCGTGTCTCATTCTTTGCACATGCCCTTTCTGACCCATCATTCCCACGATGCATTTTTCCATAAGTGTGATTCTCCCTCTGTAGACTGTATCGTGTCTGTGTGTGTCTGGGAGCATACTGTATGTATATGTGTATTAAACACATTTATATATTTGTGTGTTTAAGCTCCCATGGTGAATAGATCAATCAAGCCAAATAACTCCTCAAAGCCAGCCTCTTCTCCAGGGACAACTTCGGGTAAAGTATATGCGTGATTCGGTGGGGTTTTTTTTGTTTTTTATTGTGAGATGATTGCATTTGTAGGTTTGGTTTTTAATCTATTTGAAATAAGACAAACAACTCAAATGCTTATTAATGAATAATCCCTTGTATTTCCAAATGTCTCAATAAATGGTAATAGAGGCCTTATCCTCATCCACTGTCTCGTGGCACCAGTATTGAAGGGACTCTCACTCCTGGCAAGTCCTGGTGGTGGCTAAGAGCTTGGATTTTGAGCCAGACAGACCTAGGTTGGAATCCCAGTGCTCCCAGTTGCAGCTGTCCCACTATGGGCTTGTACTTCACTTTCCGAGCATCTATTTTCTCGTCTGTAAACGGAGATAAAGCCCCTGCCCTGTGACAGGAGAATTCTGAAATTGTGAATGGGAAACTCTTAACGCGCTGCCTGGCACGCAGTACGTGCTCAGTAAAGAGTATTATTTTCTGTTTCTTTAGAGTTCATGCATTCTTCTGGTTTCACTTCTCTTGTCTAAGCTGATCACTCTCTGGTGTCCAACCTTGACCTGATTTTCCTTTTGAAGACCTTGACGTTCCCACCACCTCAAGCTCAAGGCATCCCTCACCAAAGTCTAAACTCATCACCTCCCTACCCTTTGGATGTCCCTCTTCCTCTTTGCATGTCAGCCTCCAGGCTGCGTCTCTATGCCTATGTTCTTTCCAAAGCCTGCAATTTCTTTTTCCTGAATTCACCCTTCCATTTTAGTTGCCACCACCCTATTGCAGTCTTTCTTTACTTTATCACCTCACACCTTCTTGTTTGCGAGAGTCCCCTATCCACATCCCTGCCGCTAGGCTCTTTCCCCAGTCACTAGACTGAGCTTCTGAATGCCTCCAAATGTTGCCAGTTTCATCCCATTACAAAGTTAGTTTTTACCATGTCCCCCCTGCCCGAGCCGTGAACACTCAGTGGTTCCTCATTGTCTCCTTTAGGGTTTGGCAACCCCAAGACCGAGGCCCACAGTGCTGGGTGATGCCCACACTCCCACCCTATTACAGCACAGAGAGGTGCAGGAGCCTCCTCTCCGGTGTTCCCTCCTTCTCCCTCTCCCCTCCCCTCCATCTCTCTCTCTGTCTCTGTCTGTCTGTCTGTCTCTCTCACACACACACACACACACACACACACGCACTCTTTTCTCCCAGAGCTGAAGACTGAACACAAGAGATTAGGAGACTGAACTCTGCTTCCAGGGACATACTCCCTGAGAGAAAATGAAAGAAGAAGATTTTTTTTTTATTGAGGTCACAATAGCTTATAACATTGTGAAATTTCAGTTGTACATTATTATTTGTCAGTCACCATGTAAATGTTCCCCTTTACCCATTATGCCCACCCCCAAACCCCCTTCCCTCTGGTAACCACTAATCTGTTCTTTTTGTCCATGTGATAGTTTATCTTCCACATATGAGTGAAATCATATGGTGTTTGTCTTTCTCTGTCTGGCTTATTTCACTTAACATCATACTCTCAAAGTCCATCCATGTTGTTGTGAATGGGATGATTTCATCTTTTTTATGGCTGAATAGTATTCTATTATGTGTGTGTGTGTGTGTGTGTATATATATATATATATACATGACATCTTCCTTATCCAATCATCAGTCGATGGCCACTTAGGTTACTTCCACATCTTGGCTACTTTGAATAATGCTGCAATGGATATAGAGATGCATAAGTGTCTTTGAATTGTTGATTTTAAGTTCTTTGGATAAATACCCAGTAGTGGGATAGCTGAGTCGTATGGTATTTCTATTATTAATTTTTTGAGAAATCTCCATAATGTTTTCCATAGTGGCTGCACCAATTTGCATTCCCACCAGCAGTGTATGAGGCTTCCCTTTTCTCCCCATCCTCTCCAACATTTGTTACTTTTCGTCTTGGTGATTATAGCCATTCTAACGGTGTAAAGTGATATCTCAGTGTAGTTTGATTTGCATTTCCCTGATAATTAGTAACGTTGAATATCTTTTCATGTGCCTGTTGCCCATCTGTATATCTTCTTTGGAGAAATGTCTGTTCAGATCCTCTGCCCATTTTTTGATGAAGTTGTTTGTTTTTTTTATTGAGTTGTGTGAGTTATTTGTATATTTTGGAGATTAACCCCTTGTCAGACATGTGGTTTGCCAAGTATTTTCTCCCAGTTTGTGGGTTGTCTTTTCATTTTGTTGATGGTTTCCTTTGCTTTGCAGAAGCTTGTTAGTCTGATGAAGTCCCATTTGTTTATTTTTTCTTTTGTTTCCTTTGTGTAAGTAGACATGGTATTTGAAAATATTCTTCTAAGACCCATGTCAAAGAATATACTGACTATATATTCTTCTAGGAGTTTTATGGTTTTAGGTCTTACCTTCAAGTCTTTAATCCATTTTGAATTAATTTTTGTGTATGGTGAAAGATAATGGTCTACTTTCTTTCTTTTGCATGTGGCTGTCCAGTTTTCCCAACACCATTTAGTGAACAGACTTTCCTTTCTCCATTATATGTTCTTGTCTTAGCTCTTTGTCGAAGATTATCCGTCTGTAGATGTGTGGTTTTATTTTTGGGCTTTCAATTCTGTTCCACTGATCTGTGTGTCTGTTTTCATACCAGTATCATGCTGTTTTGATTACTATAGCTTTGTAGTATATTTTGAAGTCAGGGATTGTGATGCCTCTAGCTTTGTTCTTTTTTCTCAGGATTACTTTAGCTATTCAGGATCTTTTGTTGCCCCATATGAATTTTAGGATTCTTTGTCCTATTTCCATGAAGAATGTCAGTGGGATTCTGATTGGGATTGCATTGAATCTGCAGATTGCTTTAGGTAGTATGGACATTTTAATTTTGCTTATTCTTCCAATCCATGTGCATGGAATATCTTTCCATTTCTTTATGTTGTCATCGATTTCTTTCAATAATGTCTTATAGTTTTCATTGTATACATCTTTCACCTCCTTGGTTAAATTTGTTCCTAGATATTTTATTCTTTTTGTTGCGATTGTAAATGGGATTGTATTCTTGAGTTCTCTTTCTTTTAGCTTGTTATTAGAGTATAGAAATGCAACTGATTTTTGTAAGTTGATTTTGTACCCTGCAACTTTGCTGTAGTTGCTGATTATTTCTAATAGTTTTCCAATGGGCTTTTTAGGGTTTTCTATACATAAAATCATGTCATTTGCAAACAGTGAGAGTTTCACTTCTTCATTGCCAATTTGCATACCCTTTATTTCTTTTTCTTGCCTAATTGCTCTGGCCAAACCTCCAGTACTATGTTAATATAAACAGCAGTGATAGTGGGCACCCTTGTCTTGTTGCTGTTCTCAGAGGGATGGCTTTCAGTTTTTCTCCATTGAGTATGATGTTGGCTGTGAGTTTGTCATAAATAGCCTTTATTATGTTGAGATACTTTCCTTCTATACTCATTTTACTGAGAGTTCTTATCATATGGATGCTGGATCTTGTTAAATGCTTTCTCTGCATCTGTTGAGATGATCATGTGGTTTTTATTCCTCATTTTGTTAATGTGGTGTATCACATTGATTGATTTGCAGATGTCGAACTATCCCTGCATCCCTGGTATAAATCCCACTTGATCATGGTGTATGATCCTTTTAATGTATTGTTGTATTTGGTTTGCCAATATTTTGTTGAGGATTTTTGCATCTACATTCATCAGCGGTATTGGCCTGTAATTTTCCTTCTTTGTGTTGTCCTTGTCTGGCTTTGGGATCAGGGTGATGTTGACCTCATAAAATGTGTTCGGAAGTGTTCTGTCTTCTTCAATTTTTTGGAAGAGTTTGAGAAGGATAGGTATTAAATCTTCTTTGAATGTTTTTTAGGATTCTCCAGAGAAGCCATCTGGTCCTGGACTTTTATTTTTTGGGAGGTTTTTGGTTACTGTTTCAATCTCTTTACTTGTAATTGGTCTATTCAGATTCTCTATTTCTTCTTGATTCAGTTTTGGGAGGTTATGAGTCTAAGAATTTATCCATTTCTTCTAGATTGTCCAATTTGTTGGTATATCATTTTTTCATAGTATTCTCTTATAATCCTTCGTATTTCTGTGGTATCTGTTGTAATTTCTCCTTTTTCATTTCTAATTTTATTTATTTGAGGCTTCTCTCTTTTGTTTTTAGTGACTCTGTCTAAGGGTTTGTCAATTTTGCTTATCTTCTCAAAGAACTAGCTCTTAGTTTCATTGATCCTTTCTACTGTTTTTTGTTTCTTTGTTTGTTTCAATTTCATTTATTTCTGCTCTAATTTTTATTATTTCCCTCCTTCTGCTGACTTTGGGCTTTGTTTGTTCTTCTTTTTCTAGTTCTTTTAGCTGTAGTTTAAGGTTGCTTATTTGAGAGTTTCCTTGTTTGTTAAGGTGGGCCTGTATTGCTATGAATTTCCCTGTTAGAACTGCTTTTGCTGCATCCCATATGATTTGGTATGGTGTATTATCATTTTCATTTGTCTCCAGATATTTTTTGATTTTTCCTTTAATTCTGTGATCCATTGGTTGTTCAGTAGCATGTTGTTTAGTCTCCACATATTTGTCACTTTCCTAGCTTTTTTCTTGTAGTTGATTTCTAGTTTCATAGCATTATGGTCAGAAAAGATGCTTGATGTGATTTCAATGTTCTTAAATTTGAGGCTCGCCTTGTTTCCCAACATATGGTCTATCTTTGAGAATGTCCCATGTGCACTTGAGAAGAATGTGTATTCTGGTGTTTTGGGATGGAGTGTTCTATATATATCTATTAAGTCCATCTGGTCTAGTTTTTCATTTAGTTCCACTATTTCTTTATTGACTTTCTGTCTGGCTGACCTATTCTTTAATGTAAGTGGGGTGTTAAGGTCCCCTACTATTATTGTGTTGCTGTTAATATCTCCTTTTAGGCTTGTTAATAATTGCTTTATGTACTTTGGTGCTCCTGTGTTGTGTGCATATATATTTATAAGTGTTATGTCCTCTTGGTGGAGTATCCTTTTATCGTTA